GTCACCTGTGGGGTACCCCAAGGATCCATCCTTGGCCCCTCCTCTTTCTGATCTACATGCTCCCTCTTGGGGATGTCATCCGTAGACATGGGGTACATTTCCACATGTATGCAGATGACACCCAACTCTATTTTAACACCTCTCTTTGCGACCCCCAGTCCCCTGATGTTCTGTCAGCCTGCCTGTCAGATCTCAGGGGCTGGATGAACGCAAACTTTCTTCAGCTGACTGTTGACAAGACGGAAGCCAAACTCTTCGGCTCTCGTCAACGTCTTGAATCTCACAGCTCTCACCTCCTCCACCTACCCGACCTCCCCCTAAAACTCTCCGAATCCGTACGCAACCTAGGCGTCAGGTTCGACCCCCAATTATCCTTCCTTCCCCACATCCGGTCCCTCACCAGCACCGCTTTCTTCCACTTCCGACGCATTGCCCGTCTCCGCCAATACCTCTCCCCAAAAGCCACTGAAACCCTGGTCCATGCATTTGTCACCTCTTGGCTGGACTACTCCAACGCCATCCTCACCGGTCTCCCATCCACTACCATCCATAAAATCCAAATCATTCAAAACTCTGCCGCCCGCATTCTCACCCGCACAAAACTCCGCTCCATGATCACCCCAGTCCTTGCCAGACTGCACTGGCTGCCTATCCCAGAGAGGATCGATTTCAAGATCCTCACCTTCGTATTCAAGTCCCTGCACTTCTCTGCACCCCCGACCTCTCTGACCTCCTCTCTCCTCAAAACAGCACCCGTTGCCTTTGTTCCTCCAGGTCTGGCCTCCTCCTTGTCCCCCAAGTCCTCCGCTCCACCCTCGGCGGCCGTGCCTTCAGCCACTATGCCCCGAGGCTCTGGAACTGCCTTCCTCACTCCCTTTGTCTCGCTCCCTCCCTTCCCATTTTCAGGTCTCTGCTGAAGACCTTTCTTTTCGACCGCGCCTTTGGTCACCTTCCCCCCCTCCCCCTGGCTCGGCCCCGGGATCCGTTACTGTAAAGCGCTCTGAGACGCCGTCCGGCAAGGAGGGCGCTATATATAAATCCAAGTTGTTGTTGTTGTTGCATTTGATATAGCGCTTTTCACATCTTCTAGACATCTCAAAGAGCTTCACAGAATATACTGTAAAGTGAATTGACTATATTTGTGGGTGAAACACGGTAGCCAATTGTGCACAGCAGTGTCTTACGTACAGTCATGGACTGAGTTACCACATTTTTTTTGAGTCTCCGGAAAGCAATCCACCAATTGACTAACGACCGGGTTCCTACTTACTGCAAGGTAAACAGAGGCGTGTGGAATAAGGAAACTTGACTAGGTTTCGCTCTGCCAAAGTTATTTTTCTAAATGATGCTATAGATGAATTTATTGAATTCAATCCAAACAAATATAGATCAACGCTCATCTTTTGAAAGTTTGTACATTATTAATTTGATGTACATCCATGTTTCTACAATGAAGCATTATAAGCCACAGCACCGGAGAACTAAAGGGGAATATAGAAAATAAAGTTCTTGGTGATTTCAAGCTTTCCTCTCTGCTTTGTGGAGTCCTGTAGCTCAGTGGTGAGAGCACTCACTTTGCAAGCGAGAGACCTGGTTCAATTCCAGGCAGGCGAAACCTTGGGCAAGTTTCCTTACTCCACACGCCTAATAATAATCCATCCAAAAAAAACAAAAAAAAATAATAAATTGGTCATTTTCAATCCACGACTGTTTGTGGGACATTGCTGTGCGCAATTGGCTGCCGCGTTCGCCCACAAATATACAGTCAATTCACTTTTACAGTGTGTTCTGTGAAGCGCTTTGGGACGTCCTCCCGACGTGAAAAGCGCTATATCAAATGCAAGGATTATTATTATTATTATTCCCCAAAATACAGAACCACATAGAAGCATTTTCTGAAAACTTGGAATACTCTTTGATTGATCTACAAAAGCATAGAATTCTAGCAACTAGTCTCTCACCAGGGTTACTTTCATCTTCAACAAAGTGATCCTAACAGTAGTACAGCAGCAGTTTAACGAATGCAAACAGTATGCTGAAAGCACCAAGATGTACATTCATTTCTACTTGTACATAAAACCCTGTGAAACTTTCCCAGAGAAAAGTACATCGTCAGCTTGTCAACCAGCTAGAAAAACCGCTCAAAGCTGTCTACAGGAAGTGATCTGGTCTTAGGGGAAGGAATTATGTAGAAGTAGCTCTTTCAATTAATCATATCTCTACATCATAATTTCTTAACCGCCACCCATAGTTTTTATTCATCACGATCAAAACAGGACTCAAAACTAGTTGCTACTTAAAATCTCCTGTAGGCAAGAATTACAAAAAATAGTTTCAGCAGTTAAACCCTTCTTGTACTGTACCTAAAATGACCAATACAATCAACAATATAAATGTGCACACTTTTGTGACTATTTATACAAACAATGTAATAAAAGCCAATCAATAAATTTACTGATGTTTAACACCAGTGTCATGAATACTGAAATGATATATTGTCATCAATGCTGTAGCTAAGGATTAATACATCTAAAACACACTCAAAAGAGATATACAGCTATCTTTTGAGGAAACAATTATCATCCACTAAATAGCTTTGCACCAGACTAACAAACCCTTGAACAGGTCTGGTGTAGACTAAGTCAGCCACTCACAAAATATAGACTTGAATTCCCTAAGGCAATATAAAATAACTGTCAGTGAAGAGAGCAGGCAAACTCCAAAAAGAGTAGAGACCAATGAAGGTATACAAGGAAAAAGATGTTTGCTGCAGGAGGATGAGGCTGGTTAGAGGCGACTAGTTCAAGCCCATTGCAACCCAATTTATATTTCACCTCCCCCTCTTCGGCGTCATATTTTGCAACTGTCAAGCGCTCTGGGACGCTACCATGTGTGAGGGGTGCTCTATAACTGCAAGTTGTTGTTGTATCACATCGGAGAACATTCATTCACAGTGCTGCATGGGCTGGGGGTGGGCAGTGCAATGATGAGGGAAAGCAAAGTCAAAGAGGCATGTTTTGAGACATAATAATCGCTTCACAGAATATACTGTAAAGTGAACTGTGTGCATATTCTGTGGGCGAAACGTGGCAGCCAATTGCGCACAGCAGTATCCCACAAACAGTCGTGGATTGAGTGACCAATTTATTATTTAACAGTTATAACCCTTTTAAAATAAACCAGTGTTTCAGCTTGTTGATATAACAAGAGCCCCGAACCATTTAGTGATACGACTTTAGCTCACTGCTGTTATTCCAAGAAATTAAGATTCTGATCTTGGCAGGAAGCCTCTCGAGAGGGCACAAAACTTTGCTTTTCCTCAAAACAAGCCTCACAAACCTTTGAAGGACAAGCTCTGGCAAACCTCTGAGAATGGGTTAAATTTACCTTAGATTTACCATGATGCAAAAAAGACATGCCTTGAAAGAGGGGAGAGAATAGGAGGGACTTCAGGATGGAGTTCCAAAGAGTGAGGGTAGAATAGCTGAAAATCCGCTGGTTGGTGAGGGACATGAAAGTGGCTGAGTTGGTAAGGTTTTAAAAGGTCACAGAGGTAGGGCCAAGACCATGGAGGGATGTAAAGTCAAGAATGAGAATCTTGAACTCGACCTACTGGGGGATGGGGAGCCAATGAATGGGGCCAATAAGCCGCAGAGGCTAGCGCGGAAGAGGACACTGAATCCAAGGCTAACTGCAGAATGCAAAGAACAGAAGTTATCAACTCTGAACAACTATCTGTTCCTCATGCATTGGACGCCATACTGTATAACATGGCCTGGGACCAGAAGTCTACAGAATTTCCAATAACAGTAGAAAACTAGAACAGAGTAGAAAAGCAAGAAGGTTAAACAATTAACAGTTAAAGAGGAAGGTTAGGAAAATCAGCATGGTGGAATTCTTCCCCACAAATTGTTGAGGCAATGATTAGTCACTGATTGGCTTCATTGACCACATTTCTAATATAATTATCCTCACATTTGATACAGCTCCTTTCATATCAGGAAAACCTTTCAAAGCTCTTCATAGGATTTAATGTAAAATGTAGTGACTGTATTTTGTAGGTGAACAGGCCATTTGCACTCAGCATTAATGACCTCTAACTAACCTCATCCTCCTGCAGCAAACGTCTTTTTCGAAATACACCTTATGTTGGTCTGTGATTTGTAGACTTGCTTTCTATTGTTAGTTATGCAATGATTAACACATCACACTTTTTAAGCCCTTATTTATAAATGGATATTGAAGAGAATGAGCTGCTCCACCATACATGAAGAAATGTCAGATCTTACTTCAAATTTCACCAGGTTACCCACACACAGGGAGAAGTAGTGCCTGCCAAACTCAGACTTAATCAGTCTGACAATAAATTTTGCTTGGATAATAATCTTTGCATTTGATATTCCACCTATGTCAAAATATCTCAAACTGCTTCACAGCTATTTGCTGTCAAGAAAGTGAGGCAATCAATTTGTGCACAGCAAGGTCCCACAAAAATCCTGATGTGAGAATGTCATATGTTCTTTAAGATCCATCTGAATAGGCTGGAACTCTGGTTTCACCTCAATTCAGATAACACTCCTCCAACGCTACACAGAAGTGTCAGCCAGGACTGTGAGATCAAACCCACAAAGTGGGGCTTGAACCCATCGACTCGGAAGGAAGAGTATTACTAATGGAGTCAAGATAATACATACATAGACCAGCATTTCTATATACATTAGAAGTGAACAATTCACGAGTTTGATCTTCAGATCAGACCTCAAATTTTAATAGGCAAATCCAGTTTAAAAACTTAGGGGGAAGGAATTCCTTAACTGTCAGTTAAAGTATGGATCTTCAAAATCATCATCTTAAATTCAGTGACGACTGCTCCACGCAAAAATTGAGCTTGAAGTTGAAATGTTTGAGACACCTGACTTTCATAGCTTGATGTTCCAAAAGTTATGCTCAGAAGAAATACAGTTTGAAAAGAAAAGCTTTAAATTTCAACAATTTCTTACCCCAAGTAAAAGACCAATACGCTGACTACAGCCAAGGCTCCCTGAATTTTTATAGAGCTTGTGACAACTCGAGATAGCTAAAGAAGAAAAAAACAGCTCAATGACATTCTTCAAAATATAATTTTATTTTAATTTACACAATTATTAGCAGAAAATATTTAATACTTAACTTTGGAAAACCTATTTAGCTAAGTCACTATATCATAATTTCAATATTTCCCAACAAATTCTGGAGAAACATTAATCTATGTAACCTCATAAACACATTCAAGTAAAAGATGTTGGGCAATTAGAGTAGAAATTTAATCTTTTGCACCCTATGGCTGCAATAACAATATTTATCAATAGAATGGAGGGTAACAGCATGCCAACAATAGAGCTCTGTTGCAGATGTTGGCTGCAGTATCAGCAAAATGGTTAGAAGCGATGTATCCAGGTTTGTGATTTGGTCCAACTTAGTAACAGTTGGAAGAATACGAAGTGCAAAAGTATAAGATGCACTGATGAACACACACACTTCAATAACCACATAGATTTCATATACCCAAAGGAACTGGTCAACTAGTCCAATCATGGGTCTTCACCGTAGTTTCAATTATGTACAGTAGATCATAAGTTGACTCATTTTTTTGGCTGGAACATTTTGGTTGCTGAAGTGATCCTATGGTTTAGTTGCAGGAGGTCAGAGTTACAAGCTAGTTATGTTGATGGATATCTAGGCAAAATTTTCAGTTCAGGAGCAATTATGAGCTCCTAATGTGTGGAAACATAAACAAATACTTGAAAATGCTTGCCATCAAACATGCTATAAACATTAGCCTACCAGAACTGCCAGGGGAAGAGGGTTGAATCCCATTCTTCTAGAAACTGAATCACTGTAATCTGTGTATGCCTGTAAGAAAAACATTTGTTATCAAATATACAGTCGATTCACTTTACAATATATTCTGTGAAACATTTTGAGATGCATTGAAAACGTGATAAGACACTGTATCAAATGCAAGGATTTTATTATTAAATAGACCATAGTTCAGAGAGTATTGCAGTACTTAAAGCATTGAATTTGGCTAATAATCATCACATTATATCAGCAGTCATTCTTTGTATTACAAACATACTTGAAATGCACCATGTAAGGAAAACAGTGCATCGGGAATAATTACTAGACATCAATCTATCGTCAAGAGATCAAGTGTAAATCCTCCCTTTTTGGAAGACTTAGATAACATACATTGTTATAATTTACTCAAGGTTTGCTCACTGACAAGCCAGGCAGCAAATTACTGAAACACATGAGTTGGTCACCAGCTGAAAGCATGTATGGCTTTAAAGCATCTTAACAACACAAAGTCAAATTTGTAAAAAAAAGCCAGGAGGGTGGAGAATGTGCATGTTCAGCATGCCTTCACTTAAAAATGACTCAGGTTTTTATAGAGCACAAGGGTAGCTTGTAGAATTGTAGGATCCAAATAAGATTATCCAGGATTAAGGACAGAATAAACTTGCAACTAAACTGCTCGTCCTTGTTATTAGCAAGGTCATGCTTCATTACTCCACATGGCTATTCTGCAGATATCTTATATTGCCACCTAGAAAAACCTAGTCCAAATAGTAAATCAAAGACAGACCTGTATTTGACAGATAATGAGTGTAACTAGAACAAAATTGGGTAAAAGCAATCCAAATAGAAATTAGTGTGATATGGCACGAAAACAGGCTATTCAGACCAACTGTTCTGTGACGATGTTTATACTCCACTTCTCCTATTCCCCTTTTCTATATCCCTCTATTTCTTTTTCCCTCATGTATGCGTTAGCAAATTTGTAACACAAAATAGTAATTGACATTTGCAATTGAAGCCCGGCTCAAACTGACAAAACAGATATAAAATTAGATTAACAAGAAAATATACTACAAGAAATCATAATTAGGCGTGGGGGGTAGGGGGGGGGGAGGAAAAGAGGAGGTTCATTATCCATAAATGAAGTGAGCAGACGGGTGAATCTTCAAAGCAATTTAATAAAGATAATCAGTTCTTTAATAAATAATGAAGTACTAAACACAAGCTGTTTATTAATTGGTCCACCAGAGTTGCTCAGACAGCGAGAAGTAGGTGAATGTGTGCAGCTCAAATAATCACTGTATTCAGTATTTCCAGTTTTTGGTTAAAGTCACATCTCCAGGGCTGGGTAAAAAAATTGCGTTTCAATTTTCATTAACACCATAAAAAGACTGCAAGGAAAAGGGAATGATAAGAATCATAGAATTATACAGCACAGAAGGAGGTCATTTGGCCCATTGTTCTGTGCCGACTCTTTGAAAAGTGCCATCCATTCTTCCTCCCAAAATGCATCACTTCGCATTTCTCCATATTAAACTTCATCTATAATAATAATAATCCTTGCATTTGAATTAGCGCTTTTCACGTCGGGAGGACGTCCCAAAGCGCTTCACAGAACACACTGTAAAGTGAATTGACTGTGTATTTGTGGGCGAACGCGGCAGCCAATTGCGCACAGCAATGTCCCACAAACAGTCGTAGATTGAAAATGACCAATTTATTATTGTTTTTGGTTTTGGAGGGATTATTATTAGGCTCTGTGTGGAGTAAGGAAACTTGCCCAAGGTTTCGCCCTGCCTGGAATTGAACTCAGGTCTCTCGCTTGCAAAGCGAGTGCTCTAACCACTGAGCTACAGGACTCCACGTCTGCCACATGTCTGCCCATTTTACCAGTCTGTCTATATCCATTTGCAGTCTGCTACACACCGTTGTAGCTTACCCATGCAGTGATATACAATTTGCATAGCGCTCCAGGACGCTACCCTGTGTGAGAGGTGCTATATAAATGCAAGTTGTTGTTGTTGCATAACAAACAGTTGGTGAAACACAGAATAATGAATCTCTAAAGTCGAATCAGAATTTTTGTTTGTGTGATGTTTGGAGAGCCATTTCCTTTAGACCGGGGTGTGTGCTGGCAGCAACTAACTTTCAGGGCTCTCCAGGGTAAGACTCCCAGGTCTCTCCATATGCAATATGCAAAGGTTAGCCAAAGTCATTCAACCTGAAGATTTTTCCTCCCTGTCAGTGAAGTGTTTGGCTTACACTCTTAAGCACGTAATGTGAAATTGATTAGTTGTCACAAAATAAAGAAATCATTGCACCCAAAGTAGAGATGCAATAACCACTTGCAATTCATACATCACTTTATCACATCAAAATGTCTCAAATCACCTCGCACAAGATCTGAGGTGTGATGATTTATGCAGGCAAATGCAGCAGCTAATCAGCACCAATAAAAGTCGAGAAATTGACGATATATTATTCCTCCAAAAGCCTGCAGTAATTCAGTCATAATTGCTAATCCACTTAAAATAAATGTCATCATGCTTCAAGATCACAGGACACCAATAGTTACCACTGAGAGATGTTCCTGACACAAACTAGGAATGCGGTTTAATTATAGACAACGGATATATGCCAATGTCAAACTAAATATTGAGATTCTGATGACTAAATTACTAAAGTTTTTATTCTAGTTAGCATCTGAACTGCTCTATAAGATTACTCCTTTGTAATCACTCAAAACATTATTCTCGATGCTGTAAACTGAGACCGTACACTTTAATTTTTATGAATTCTTTCCCTCCCCACCACCTCCCTCCCCATAGCCTGACAGGCACAAATCCTACACTTTGGTAAAGAGAAGAAAAACTTGGCCTAGGTGGTAAAAGGTTCCAGCATTTGATTTTTTCAAAAAACCTTTTTGGCCACAAGCTCAAGATTCGGAGGAGGTTAAAGGGCATTGAAGTCGATACGCTCAGAGACTAGAGGCCAGTGGAGTAGTAAGTATGCAGAATTTTGGATGAATTGGAGCAATGGAAAACTATGTATGAGGTGACGAGAGTTTCATCTGCAGAGAATGAGAGTTAGGAATATTCCAAAGATGAAGGAAAGCAGTGCATTTCAGCAAATGACAGAAATAGTTTTCAAATTCTCTTAAACGCAGTCACACAGTTGTAGTTATACAGGGTGACCAAAATGTTGTGATAACTACCTCATTATCTAAAAAAAATCATAATTTCTTTTAAGACTTATTAGACATTGTAATGGTATCACAACTTTTTTGGCCATCCTGTATAAACCTTCAATTTTTGTATCCGATACAAATTTACAAGTCTTTTAGACTTTTCTGATTGTGTCTTGAGAACAAATTGAAACTAGGCAAGAACGTTTTCTATTTCAAATCTATTTACTAGGTATCAATGGAAATGAAACCACACCTATGTACTTACATTTTTTTGCCGGCTGCTCACCAAGTCAAATGCAAGGCTTGCTCTGTACTCACTGTACACCTAAACACAGAAAAGAAAACTTGAGACTAGATTTGGAATAGCTAAAACCCATTTACTGAAGAATTGAAATTAAAACAAACAAAATGTTGTAAGTTCAAGATTATTCAAGATTATTCTGCAATAATCATGAGGAAGAAATAGTGTAATGCAGAAAAATATAAAAACTACAGCAAAATATTATACAGTCGAACCCTGTGTATCCATCTCTGCAACATTGTGTGCCTCCACCACTACCTCATCTCCCTTATTATTGCTTCAGCCTCTCCAACTCCACTCCACAAACTACAGGCCATAAAGAATTCCAAATCCTCTCCCACAATAGGCCCTGCAAACCCATTATCCTTATCCAGCTACACTGGCTCTTTATCTCCCAATGCACCAATTTTAAGATCCTCACCTTCAATTACATCTACGGTTTCGCACCTCCCTACGTCTATGATGTCCTGAGACTACTCTACCAGCGACATCCTCCACACTGCCAGGCTTCATGCCCCCTGGCTGGTCAGCTATACCATCAGCAGACAAGACTCCAGTCATTTTGCCCCCTCCCTCTGAAATTCTTCCATATTGCCCTTTCCTCTCTGCTTTCAAATCCCAATTTCTTTGATTGTGCTTACAGACACCTTCTCCAAGCCCATCCCAGGTCAGGCTCCCTTTCAATCTTTGAAAAGTGCTTTGAACCGTTCTTTCAATGGGAAAGTTGCTAAATAATAGGAGGGGTCAGACTCTCACCCCACCTCTCCCCTCCAAAAAAAATCAGGGATTTAATTGCTGTGTAATTACCCAACTGAAGCCAAACAGCAAAGCACTTAATTGACCCCAGGGTACAAAATGTGAGTTCGCATTGCCAGGGGATTTGGCAGATCACTTTCCAGGGGCAATAATCCCTTAAAAAAAACTGGTCACTCAATCCACCATTGTTTGTGGGACACTGCTGTGTGCAACTGGCTGCCGCATTTTGCCCCAAAGCACGCAGTCAATTCACTTTACAGTATTATGCTATGAAGCTCTTTGAGGCCTCTCAACGACGTGTTAAGACACTATATCAAATGCAAGGATTATTATAACAAGAATAAATTGTTGTTGAAATAGGCATAGCTTGTATTTCAAAAAGTTTATAGGCGTCTCAAAAGCTATCGAAAGTGTTGTCCAACAATAAAAAAACATTTCTGCAACAGAAACTACAGGCTCAAATGGTGTATTTGTTAACTCGTGAAAAACTATATTTATCTCAGAGGAGAATCATACAGGAACATTTTGAATAACATTTCCATACTACCTGTTTTGAACTGCTGGGATCCTAATGCAATGCTTTGTGAAATTATGGAAATGGCTGATAAATGTTCTCTAATGGAACAAGGTTTTAACTCAAAGTCTAAAGAGCAAATATTCCTTCATGAATGGAATGTTAAAACACACTTTTTCCATATTACAAGTTACATTCAAGTTTCATGTACTATCTTTAACATGTTAGTAACTGTTGAATTCCCTGAGCTAAGTAGCGGGTAAAACTTCCTCTTTATACAACATGCCACAGCTGACCTGAAAGTGAGGAATAAAACAGTGAGGTACTATATTCTTCAGTGCTGTTATCATACAGTTTGATTAGCATAAAGATTTCTGACAGAATTTAAGAAAAAAAGCCAAGTAAAGCAATCATATTGGATAGTAAGTTATAATAAATTGTACCAACATTTTCAGCAGATTATAGTTAATGATGTGCAAACCAATGTAATCATTTGTGCATTTACCTCTGCTGTAATGTCATTAAATTTAGTAATAAACGCATGTTTGACGACATCAACAGCCATTTCCGATGCAACTACCATGCAAACATCTGGAAATAAAACCCAAAGATGATCTGGAAAAGAACACACAAATATTCTTAGTTGCCTTCAATTAAATCAGAGCTGACTTTTTAAACTTTTGTACAAAAAGAGTAAAATGTTCTTTCAAAACAAATGACAGAATAGTTTTAAGCTATTTCCCCTTCTTACCCATCTCTTTCACAAAGTCTCAAACTTCTAACCTTTTCCCAAAACAGGCAAGACATAAAACCGAGGTTCGTCTGCCTGTTCAGATGGACACTCCCATGGTACTATTCAAAAAGAGTAGGGGTTTCTCTTGGTGTCTTGGCCAACAATCTGCCAAATAAAATTTGTCATTCACTTCACGGCTGTTTGTGGGATATTGCTGTGCGCAAATTTGGCTGCCGCGTTCACTCAGAAAACACAGTCACCCGACTTTACAATAAGCGCTTTGGGACATCCTACCGACATAAAAGGCACTATACCAAATATAAGGATTATTTATTAATATTAATAATGAATTGAACCTCCGGCAAGCTGTAGACCTTCCTAAAACCAACATTTTTCTCAGGTAATTGACCAACAAGACTTTTTTCCATTAGGAAGGCCAAATGGATGTTTACCCCCCCTCCACTCAAATGCTTAAAGCCTGAAGGTGGATTATTCCTTTTCCAGAACGTTCTCAGAATGTATTGACTACAGTAAGAAGAATCGTCCACAGATGCTGCTCATTAGCAATTCCTTTTTATTGTTGCTTAAAGGGGTTTCTTTCCAGAGAAAAAAAGGTTTCAAACAGCAGAGTATCCATCTGGAACTTATTTCAGTTAGACTGACTACTCTAAATTCATGTTTGCTCTAAAATTGGATACTTACTGGAAAAGAAAAAAAAGGCAATGCTATGGGAAAAGAGCAGTCAAGTGGAACTAATTGGGTAGCTTTCAATGAGCTGGCACTTGCTTGATGGACCTTTCCCTGCTCTTTTTAGTTTAGATTTATAGGCCTCCTTCTTTGCTGTAGGATTCCATGATTCTATATACATTAAATTAAGCTAAAAAGGGAAGGGAAAGGAATATCCGTTTAAGGTAGACATTTAAAATAAAAATGAATTACCTCTATTTTTTCTCTGCCTATACTAAAGTACACATAGATGCACTGCATAAAACAGAACAATGGCTGAGTCACACTGAAGTGAAAGATGTGTACACAAGCAAATCAAAATAGGTATCAAAGCTGAAAATAGGGTTAAGGACTAGTCTTCCCAAACTAAGAATCTATTGACATCTGTAATCTTTTTACCTGGATTCCATGAAAACTGCTCCATATTCCTCAGACAAACAATCAACAGAAGTACATAGTTGGTGAATCTCTCTCTTATATCTGAAAAAAGATATTTACTACATAAGATAGACAGGTGGCACTGCAATGCAAAGGTTTCTGTACATTCAATAGTTTTCAATATCACTGTGTGTCAGTCATGAACATCTTTTTACAATGCGCTATCATTAGGTTCTCATTGGGAATATTTAGAACATTATTAACATAAGAAAGCATGGAACATACTCCATCCCCAGATCACACAAAAGCTATCCTACCATAAACAAACAGTGAGCTAAATGATCCTTCATAAATTAATATTGCGTACATACCACTGTTGGACATCTGAAAAAGATTATTCTTCTCAAACTTCTTGAAAACACTTCCTTTTATTTCTACAAACTGCAGTTTAAGAAAAGCATATTAGACATAAATTTATATATTTTGTAGCATTACATTCATGTACAAACTTGAATACTCATTTTAGTATTCATTTAATTTTTGAGATAATTTTGTATTTTATATGTATGAGACTGCAGTGCTGTGACAAGGAGGGAAATCTCTGAATAAAATGCTGTAAATCAGCAGCAAATTGCTGAAAAACATGACTTAGTGTCCAGTCATCCTTCTCGAGGTTATGCTGGACAAAGCGACAAAGTCAATCACTTTGCGAGTTCTATAATTCATTCATGTTAAGGATGTTGTTGATTAGTGCTAGATACTGTTCCCTGCAATGCAAGTCTCATACCTCAAACTTCTCACCCAATAATTACACATAATTACTAAAAGCTATTGTATGGCATTCTACTTTTTTGACGTATATAATATTGATTTGAATTTTAAAGTTTCATTGTGTTAGAAATTTTGAATTATGGCGACAATTAAATGCAACATATATTTACAGATTTATTGCCTTAATCATTTTTTTTCTTCAGTGAAAGGTCACAGTTTAAAACTAGTCTTTTGTTAACCTGATCGAAGTATTTAAACTTAATTATAAAATATATAAACTAAACATTTCACTAAGAATTTTACAGCAATGCAATGTTTAAACAGCCCTTTAATGACTTAGAAGTACACAGGAAACAGTTTAATGCACATACTCACATTATTTGACATCATGATAGTAAGTAATGACTTGTTGTGGGAGTTGAAAGCAACATTCAAGGTTGTTGCTTGCACCATAACTAGAATAGTATGTAGAACTATAATTACATTAAGGATAAAACAAACTATGACAAGTGTACAGCTATAACATTTTCAACAGCTAACATTTTCTATAAAAATTAAGTTAAATATTTAATATGCTGACAGAAAAGCTTTTAAGTTAACACCATTTTACTTTAGATCATAAATCTATAGCAATAGTGAGATTAGATACAGTAGAAAGTAATTCTCTAATCTACGGACATTGACCTCTAAATCTCTGTTGAATTGTACATATAATGAGCATTATTTTCCCTCAGTATTCACCAGGGAGACAAATCAGGTGGACAAGACAGTAGAAGAGATCGAAAATAATATGAATACATTTAAGATACAAAGAGGAGATATAATCGAAAAACTAACTCAGAGAGGATAAAACCCCTGGTCCAGTTGGATTGCATCCGCATATATTAAAAGAATCGAGGGAAGAGATAGCAGAGGCACTATTACACATGTATAATAATTCATTAGAAAAGGGAGTAGTGCTAGAGAACTGGAGGATACCTAATAATAATGTTATGCCTATATTTAAAAAGGGAGCTAGAACTAGCCCAGGGAGCTATAGACCTGTCAGCTTAACATCGGTGGTAGGAAAGATATGGAAAGATGGAATCCTTGCTGAAGGAGGTAATAGAAAAACATCTAGAAACGGAAAAAATAATAAAGAATAGTCAGCACGGATATCAAAAAGGAAGTTCACGTTTAACCAACCTCATTGAATTCTTTGAAGGGGTAACAGAAAGAGTAGACAAGGATAATGCAGTAGATGTAATATATTTAGATTTCCAAAAGGCATTCGATAAGGTACCACATAATAGACTAATGAATAAGGTCAGAGCATGTGGAGTCAGGGAAAAATATAAGAATGGATAGCAAGCTGGCTACAAAACAGAAAACAGAGAGTAGGGATAAAGGGTAGCTACTCAGACTGGCAGGGGGTGGGCAGTGGTGTTCTACAAGGATCGATAATGGGACAACTGTTGTTCACAATATACATTAATGATTTAGTCAAGGGGAATCAGCAGTACAATTTCAAAATTTGTGGTCGACACCAAATTGGGGGGAATAGTTAATACAGAGTAATAATAATAATAATAATAATAATCCTTGCATTTGATATAGCGCTTTTCACGTCGGGAGGACGTCCCAAAGCGCTTCACAAAACATACTGTAAAGTGAATTGACTGTATATTTGTGGGCGAACGCGGCAGCCAATTGCGCACAGCAATGTCCCACAAACAGTCGTAGATTGTAAATGACCAATTTATTATTGTTTTTGGTTTTGGAGGGATTATTATTAGGCGTATGGAGTAAGGAAACTTGCCCAAGGTTTCGCCCTGCCTGGAATTGAACTCCGGTCTCTCGCTTGCAAAGCGAGTGCTCTAACCACTGAGCTACAGGACTCCACTGTAGGACTGCAACCAATTATAGTAAGACATTAATAAACTTGCTAAGTGGGCATTTAAATGCCAAATGCATTTCAATGTAGAAAAATGTGAGGTGGTACATTTTGGTAGAAGGAAAAAGGAAATCACGTACATCATGGAAAATAAAAACCTAAATGGGGTAGAGGAGCAAAGGGACCAAGGAGTACACATACCCAATTCACTAAAAGTATCAATGCAGGTTAATGAGGCCATTAAAAAAAGGAAACCAGGCATTGGGGTTCATTTCTAGAGGGATAGAAATGAAATGCAGGGAAGTTATGGTAAACTGCTGTAGAACATTGGTTAGACGACACTTAGAATATTGTGTGCCATTCTGGTTCCCACATTATAGAAGGGATGTAGAGGCACTGGAGAGGGTGCAAAGGAGATTCACAAGGATCATCCCAGAACTGAGAGGTTATACCTATCAGGAAAGGCTAAACATACTTGGACTCTTTTCTCTTGAAGAGGGTAAAGGGTGACCTGATAGAGGTCTTTAAAATGATGAAAGGGTTTGATAGGGTAGACATCGGGAAGATGTTTCCACTTGTGGGGGAGACTAAAACCAGGGGCCATCAATATAAAATAGTCACAAATAGATCAAATAGGGAAGTTAGATGAAATTTCTTCACAAGGATAGTGGGAATGTGGAACATGCTTCCACAAGGAGTTATTGAGGCAAACAGCATAGATGTATTTAAGGGGAAGCTAGATAGGTAATTGAGGGAGAAAGGAATAGAAGGTTATGCTTGAAGGCTTAGTTGAGAAAGGGAAGGAGGTTCATGTGGAGTATAAACACTGGCATAGACCAGTTGGGCCGAATGGTCTGTTTCTGTGCTGTATAATCTAATGTATTGTAATGTATTTGGTGGCTAGTCAATGCATAACAGGATTATAGAATTTTATACCGTAATACATTTCAAACTTGTCACAGTAAGATGACTATTTCAAATCACAAATGTTATATACTGTGGCCATCAAATGCTAAGTTGTAAGTGTAATTCAATAGAGATTTGGAGTCAACAGTAATTGCATTCACCTCAGGCATGGCTGCCAACATGACATAGCTACAGTCCTGCTGCCTTCAATTACTTAAACCATCACCTCAAGAAACATTCTCTATCATTCTTATTGAACTTCTCTCTTCAGGTCAGTAATAATTTTACCATTTTTGGCCTGTACAAACATTCCCAAGAGATGAGGGGAAGTCCAGTGCCCAAAAATGTAAAGTTGTAAATTGCACAAACAAATTTGCTCCACACCATATTTGGAGCAAATTCTACCTAGAACTGGAAGCAATGAAAAAATAGGAGAATCCCATCATCCTGCATGCCATACACTGGTACACTACAATGTACCAATCAAGCACCTTTTTGTGTAAGAGGATACAGACATAAAGTACAGCCATGAAGAAGTGAGGTATAACCCCAATATGTGCCCGCTTTTTCTCTTTAGGTTCTGTGGCTGTCCAATACAGTGCATCTAAAATATCTTGTCCAAAAGAAGAAAACAGACGATCTGCTACCTAAAGAGAAATATAAGCAATGTTACTGGTAGAATATTCCTCAACCTCATCAATTTGATCAACTCAACAATTTAAAATAAATTACATCAAATTTTAAAAAATTGCACAATAATACAGAAGTTAATCCATGCTTTAATCATACAATATAGAACAGATGAATTTTATACATGGCCTCAGGCAAAATATAATTATCTGTAGTTCTCTTATGAAGTTATTTAAGCATTGCATTATTGGTGTGCCAGATTGACCAACCTCACATCTGCAAAGCAACTTTCCCCTTCAAAGTCTATATGCAACTTGTCATTCTTCAGTTTGGCTTTCAACAGACTCCAAAAGTGGCCAGTCGGTTGTCCAACACAGCTCTGTACCACTCTCAATTTGAGTTAATGTGTTGGGTGGACTTTTCTTTACAATAGCAATACCAACATGAAGTTTGCATTCCAATTTTTTGTTTTACCATTTCTCCTATTACAGTTTTAAAACATCAGAGAATTACAAGCAGCTCGACTTTGCACATCTCACCATCTGTCGTATGCAAAACTAGATAAATAAAAATAGATTTTTATTACGCAATGATCAGGTCAAATATAAAGGACACTTTATAGATTTTACTTACCTCCAGCATATTATAGATGATGTAGAGTTTGATGACAGATTGTCCTCTAATGAGGTGGTACATCATGGAATAATCCACATAGTGCATCATCGCAAAGCAGATGACCATTATAACTCCCTTGAGCATGTCACACACCTGAGCAGGTTGTAGGAGTCGTCCATCACTAAGACCAAAAAATAAATTAGGCTCATTTCCAACTTGAGTAGTAATAATAATCCTTCCATTTGACATAACGTCTTTCATGTCAGGAGGATGTCTCAAAGCCCTTCACAGCATACACTGTAGAGTGTAATCACTATTTTGTAGGAAACGGCGTTTCCCACATGGGCTTGTGTCTTTTTGTTATACTCAAAGGTCTATTACAAAAATGGTAATTTTCACACACAGTTCCCATTTAAGAGAACCTATTAGCTTAAGCACTGTGGCAAGCAATGCAGATCCTAGTCCCCTTCCACAGTGCTCCCATTCTCACCTGCCCTTCTGTGTGAAAGAAGTGACAGGTGGCTCAGCGAGATTAAAGAGAACTGAAGAAAAAGGAAAAAGGAGTTGCATACTTAAAGAATTGATCTTTTGGGGAGGACAAAACACAAGTTTGCTACCGTACCCTTTATTTGCACTTGTTAAAACTGAATGGCAATTTTTAAAAAAAGGAATTAGATAGGTACCTAGAAATGTAAAAAATTGCAGGGCTATGGGGTAAGAGTGGGGGCATGGGATTAGTTTGTAAATCTTTCAAAGAGCCAACACAGGCACGATGGGCCGAATGGTCTCCTTCTGTAAGATTCTATGATTCTTGAAGACTTGGGATCTAATTAATTCTCTACGACTGCCACATTAGATCCATGAGTAACCATAAAATGGTCAATTTCATTGCAATGCACACAATGACGTTATGTAATAATTTAGTCGGTCTATTCAAACAAAAGAGCACACACTTGTAGTGGCTCTATGGTACTACACCTATATATTCTTGAATTTAATCACTCAAATTCTTAGGGATTGTGAGCATTCCATTTCCAATAGCAAAGCTTACCTACACTAAAATAGCCTAAAAGACAAGAGCTTGGATTAAAAACATTGGAATATCCACAATTCAAAATAATTCACTGTACACATCATTAGATTGACAAACTTCTATGTCCAATGCAAACGTCATCTCCCTACTTGTACTGTGCTGCTTCAGGATGCCTTCTTGACAAAACAACATGGTGAAACCTCAATAATAATAATCCTTCCATTTTATATAGGGATTTATCACGCCGTTGAGAAGTCTCAAAAGTTACAGTGCTTACTGTAAAGTGGATTGACTGTGTATTTTGTGGGCGAAGCAATCATCAGTGGGGGATTTCCTTCTAATTGCAATAGATAATTGTGATTTCACCATGTAAAAATTCATAGTAGTACAGTGCTTCAACTTGACTGCTTTGTTAATTTTCAGTGAAATAAGCATGACAGATGTACACTACAGTTAAGCATTAAGCACAGTATGGTACAGAATTAAAACATTTAATATAATTTACATGGTTATCATGACATCCTTCTGTAAGTCTTTCAGTGATTTAGAAAGTATGGTATAAAAAGCATGCAACACACATTATAGTGGATTTATTTATGGAGCATGAAACGAGATTATGTGTATTCTCAAAATGCGTCTACATATTTGTGCACCTTCCAATGTATGAGTAACAAAAATATTTACGTCCTTGAAGATTTACTTGATTTTCTATGGGAAAAAATAATTCTGCTAAATTTGCAGTGTGATATAATATCAATTAACTAAAATTGTGGTCAACAACTATCACTGCACTCATGCCGCTCCCCCCTTCCAATCATTAATAACTATCCATCTCTCATTCCTCTTATCCCCACATTTCTTTATTAGAAAAGGAAATCTTAAATAAAATGGGAAGTTATTGTTTACTTTAAACTTAATTTTCAGATTATCAGACAAGATAAACAATTTAGCTATTAAATCATGTTGGATGAGTGTTAGGGATGATTAGTACAGTATGTTTCCAAATCTTGTGTTGACCAATTTAAAAGGGTAAATCATAATACAACATGGTTTCAAAAGAGAAAAAACTCTCCACATAAAAGCAATCTCCCCTTCTAACTCTCCCAAAAAATAAAACGTATGATTGATGAATTTATGATTAATTTACTTTTCAGAAAGATCCAAGTCAACCTGGCTCAGTTTGTACCACTCATGCTTCTGAGTCAGTAGTTTGTGGGTTTAAACCCTATGCGGGACTCGGAACTTGTTTAGTCTAGGCTGACACTCCAATATAGTGCTGGGGGAGTGCTACGTTGTTCCTTTGGATGAGCCGTTAAACCGAGGCCCCGTCTCCTTGTTCAGTTGGACATTAAAGATCCTATGAGACTATTCGAAGACAAGGGAGTTTCTCCCGGTGTCCTGGCCGACAATCCTTCAGATAAAATTAAGTCATTCACTTCACGGCTGTTTGTGGGGCACTGCTGTGGACAAATTGGATACCGGATTCACCTACAAAACTCACGGTCACTGCAATTTACAGTAATTCCATGAAGCGGGTTCAAATGTCCTCTGGATGTGAAAGGCACTATACCAAATATAAGGATTATTATTATCTTTGTTATACTAAGTGCTCTTCCTTCTCTAGCCAGACATCTTTACAATTTCCCCCATTACACTCATTATTTACCAAGGGTAGGATAAGCAGAAGCATGTTGCAAAATAGATTTTGTTTCTAAACATTACTCTGGTTGCTTTAATAATGTGTTTTATGCCCAATTTATAGTGTTCATCGCAAAACCATGGGTGACTTACAAAAGAGCTGAGTACTCTGAAAAGGTGGTTTTGGCAGCATACTGATTTGCACTTGCTGCGGTATAAATGCAAATGGGAAAATATTAGTACTCCTCTTAAAAGTGGTTCCTAAAAGAACAACTTTTAAAGGACCAGCAATGTTGTCAAAGAGCCAGTTACATGACTGGTTACGTACTAGTTTGTGGGGCTTAGCTTAGGCATCACTGAGAGCAATGGGAAGCAGGAAGTATAAATCTAGATGGGGTTGCAAGTGCAGAAGTATAAACTCATTATTAAAGAAAATTACTCTTAAACATGGTATTGGCGGACCAAATTTTTTTTACACATTTCACTGTAGAATCCTGTGAAGTGCTTTGAGATGTCTCAACAACATAAGGTGCTACAGTTATATCAAATAGAAATATTATTATGATTACAAATATATTTTCCACGTAGAAGTTGGTATCACTCAAGGACTCATGGATCAGGCTCAAAATTCTCATCATGTTAACTTAAATTCCTTGGCTGACTTTTAAAAAATAACAGTTCACTCAGCAAAACTGCCAGTTTCCTGAGGGAACCCATGGCAGGATCATTTATCATCACTGTAATGGTTATGTGACAAGTCAGAGTTTGCAAACACTCTACTAACAATCTAACTGAAGGGATGCAAAAGTGAAGCATTGGTTGAAACCCAAGAGCAGGGCGTCATGTCATCTGCACTTTAGAGATAAAAATGTATCACCTGATAAGAGGGGCATGCTACATGGGTGAATATGTATTACTCATATGTAAACCAAAAAGTTTATATTGTTCAATTTTACTCTGGAAAAAGTCTTAGGTGCTCAATTATATTCTAAATTTGTATCACTCGAAACATACACTAAACCCCGGACTAATGAGGGGATCCGTTCTGGCGAGCTGGAATTTTTAACTTTTGATTACAATGCTGGTACCAGCTTTTTGAAAAATGCCAGTACCTGCATTGTAATTTTTGAATTCTGCAAACAGAAGACAGTGAATCAGCCATCTTCTGCTTGTGGGATTCAAACCGAGTCCAAGTTGATCTCCCTGGTGAAGACCAGCAAGCAGTGAGATGGGGAGTCTCCTAAGAGATTGGGGCAGTGAAAGTCTACAGGCGGGCCTGCAAAAATTATTTTTAAATGTTTCCGTGTGGGTTAGGGCCAAATTCCAGATAACTGGAGTCCGATAAACCGGGCTTTTACTGAATTAGATTATTATTAGAGTAAATTATGAAATTACTGCATTAGATTGAACTAGAAATTTTCACTAATGCAATCTAGGACAGCCCAAAGTAATTTTACTAACAATCTAACTGAAGGGATGCAAAAGTGAAACTCGGGCATTTACAAGCCTTGTTTGAAATCCAAGATTAGAATTCAGTTTTGGAATCTCTCTCCATCTTCCATTCGGATGTCTTCAATATCTCATTAAGGGTGTTAGTCTCACGCTAAACTAAGGTATTGACTGGAATACAAAAGCTTCTTTTTCCTGATTGGTAATTACAAAACTTGTGGAGTTGCAATGCGCTTTCTTTTTACCTTCAAAGTCTTTGTTTCAAGCATCAATTTTTTTCTGTGCAAATTGCTAAGAACATTGCTGCTTGACATGACTCGTTGTTGAATTTGGATCAAGGGACTAGAATGCTCAGCTCCTTCCAGCACCGTTTCATCCCTGACAATCTTAACCTCCATTGCTGCTAGTTCCAGCTCACAAAGCCAATGCCCAATCAACATTTTGTTTGACCCTTAGCTCTTCTTTAAGCCTTTCCTCACTTTGAAAGTCTCTCTTCCTAAATTCTTCAGTTTTGCACTCTCCCACACAGCTTCCAAAACCTTTCTAAAAATGTCTCTCTTTGCCTGCAGCTTAGGACATCTTCCTCCTACCATTCCATCTTCCACCATGCTCAGGCTTTCCCCTATCTCTGTGAAACATTTGAAAGTGCAAGTTGTTGTGGAAAAACTAAGGAAGTGCAAAGGCATAAAATAGAAACTTACAGAAGGTCAACTGAACAAATCAATGTGTGAATATTTATTGAGATAGTAGAAATATCTCTAATGGTCCGAATTAAATAAAAACAGAAATCCTGCAAATCCACAAAAGCCACATGAAAAATTGATAACATTTATGGTTTCAGGCATGACTTTTCAGAGCCGAAAATTTCCAGAATTCATTTTATTCCATGTTTATCTCAAAAAAATCTCTGCTCGTAATTCTTTCTTCTTAATTTAAAATTTTTGGTCACGTTAAAAATTTCTGATGTTTCAATATTTAAATTTGCTTGAGATCATTACAATAAGACTTCAGAGTATCGATATATATGTTACAGTAAAGTTGTGAAACCAATAAAGTTGCAAAAACCCTGAAATTTTCAGTAAAATTGTGAAACCATGAAATCACTGAAATTAGGAGTCAGGTATTTCATGAAAAAGTGATCCAGGATAGAAGGGAGCCCAGGTACATCCTTGGTGTTACCATTAATAGAGATATAGACAATGACCAGTATAGGACAGCAGTGAAGGCCGGCATCCTGAGGGGTCATTATTCCATGAACCAATTTGATCTCTGCCCACAACGATTGTTAACCTATGTCAAAGTCAGTGTCACTCTGTTAGGTTGTCATTGCACAGTCTGTTTGTGGTGGACAAGGCTTTACGAAGTGTAACTGCGGTCAGAAGAAATGTCAGACCAACCGTTGTAAATGCTTCAAAGCAAAGCTAAAATGTAACTCTCCGTGTCATGGAAGCCTCGCTTGTGTTAACAATAAACATTTGATTCATCAATGAATGAAATGTCACATGAAGCTTATGGTGAACAAAATATAAATTTTCATGTTATTTACTTGTTGATAACGCTAACACATGTCAAGGCAAGATTATCAATATGATGAAATGATTCCTTTTTCATGAAATCCCCGACTCCTAATTTCAGTGATTTCATGGTTTCACAATTTTACTGAAAATTTCACAATTTTACTGTAACATATACATGGCTACCAGATGGGTGTTAAATGACTTTAAAAATTTAATTATACTAACAATAACAATCAATTTATCAAACGTCGTAATAACAATAGCATATTAAATTAACACTAGCAAACAATGTATCAAAAAATATCAAAGGAAGTTGGTTACAAAAAATATATATCAATGGTTTCTAACTCATGACCAAAAAAAACATTTGCTTACCTTAAGCCACAGCAAGGTAGAGTTATAAACCTCATTAGAGCAAGAAGAACTCGCAATGGCAATAGAGTGAAAAGATACAGAAAGGCATCCAGGCAGAGAAAGAATCCAAAAAACATCAACTGGAGGGGGAAATAAAATATTAAAATTAAATCACAAATACTCAAATTATACATATAATTTACATACGTTTGCAGACTTTGATGACACATCAATTGTGGAACACAATTTGTATTTCCTAGCCAATACGATATATTCTATAAAGCTCTTTGAGACGTCTCAAAGACATGTATTAATTGCAAGGATTATTATACAATACTTCTGGTTCCAGAAATACATACACAATAGATGCCTATGTAGATAATCCTGTTCGGGGAATGTGCACACGTCATATTCTATGCACTGTTATGCAATCCCAAACTAAATCTTGGTTTACACCAAATTTACCAGAACATTTTTGTGTTGAATTTTTTGTGTCTTTTGTCAGGCAATCGGTTAGAACAGCAGTGGTCCTGGAATCAAGAGTAGACAGAGAGATAGAATTGGGTGTCTTCCATGTACATGTGGATGCGGACCCCATGTCTGCAGATGTTACTAAAGGGAAGCACAGAAGGTGAAAAGGAGAGGACCAAGGATAAGGCCCTGGAGAATGCTGCAAGTGACTGCAGCGCAGAGGGGAAAGCCATTTGAAGAGGCAAATAGAAGACGCCAGGATAGATAAAATGACCCCAGAAAAGTACAGAACCTCCACCAAAAAGGTGGAGAGAGAGGAGAAAAAGTGAAAATGGATGGTTGGCGGTGTTGCAGGCAGCAGAGAGATCAAGGATAACAAAGAATTAAACTGAACCCTGGTCACAGATGGAGAGAATGTAATTGGTGACGTGACCATGGCTGTTTTGGTGCTGTGGCGGGTGGTGGGGGGGGGTTGGAGAAGGTTGAGGAGAAGATGGAGGGAAAGAAAGGAGTGAAGTGACGACTCATTCTAGCAGCTTGCAAATGTCAGGTTGCAGGTAAATCAGTAGCTGGAGAGCATGGAAGGGTTGAGTGAGAGTTTCTTGGGGGAGGGGGAATGATGATGACAGTTTTGAAAGGAGGGGCACTTCCAGGTTGATGACGTCAGTTAGAGGGGAAGCTGGATGGCAGGAGGGATGTGGTGATGGGATCAAGGAGGAAACAGGGTCAAAGATGTGGAAAGAGGGGTGAATGGAGACTAGAGACGATGCCAGGGATAACTGAGCAGATCTGCAAAATTTTGGAGTTGAGACACCTCCTCAAACCGAATTCATGATAGACAACAAAAATTGGTGGGAGAGCAAGCCAGATTGTTGGGCATGCTAAGCCAAAATAATAGTTAACAAATACAAAAGATGTTGAGAATTTATCAAGTAAATCTTCCCAAAAACAGATATTAAATTAATCCAAAGGGCTCATCTTGTTCACTAATTTCCTAAAACTCACATGACTTCAAATAAAATAAACCATAAAACACTAATTGTGACTGTCGAAACTTAGCAAAGTAGATGATTTATAATTGGACTGACTGACTGTTGGGCAAAAGCAAACTATGCCACCAGATGGACCAGTAAAGCTATGAGGAGAGTTAAGTGTAACAGCGGTAGAAATAAATGTGCAGGGACAAGGTAAATAATTCCATTTTGACGTTTGAAAAGTGCTCTCCTCTGAGAAGTGCCTATTGCTATGAATCAAAGGCAGGTTTATAACTCACAAAGGTTTCAATATTCTGGTTACTGTCAAAAGAAGATGGATCAGTTAAAATCAAGGGGCAGATGAAGGGTATATGAGTTTGCTTGTAAAGCGGATGATTGTTTAGCCAAGAAAATTCCATACGTTAATGATGGCAAACCTTTTTGAGCTTAAAATTTAAAAAGTGACAAAATGCACACTTGCCAGATTGCCAGCACACGATTTTTTTAAAAAAAGATTCTTATTTGTTCGGTACTGAAATGGAAGGTGCTCTTACTTGAGATCTAACAAAGATCTAATTGCACTCTGCTCATACAATTAATTCCTGCTGGATGGTTCCTGAATTTTCTTTTCTACATCTGTTTGTGAAGTTGTTGTCTTTGAAAACCAAGAAGAGTCAAAACACCGCTTTGGATGATTAACGGTTTTCAGTACTTTGCAATAGCTGTATGGCTGAGAGCAAAGACTTGATTAGCTGGCACACGATTGAAATGATTTATTCCTATCAAAGGAGGACATAGACTGCACTCAATAATAACATGTAGTTTAGGTCCCGAGACGATTCAGATCACAATTACAGGAGGTAGGAGTTTAGAAGGAGATCCTGTGGATGCAGCTTATGCCATTCAATCTAAAAGTAAACTATCCAAGTCTGGTTAATGGTTATCCAAACATTTGAAATCCAAAATATCTCTGGTCGCAGATTACCTCAGATCCAATGTACTATAACAAGACGTGAATAGTCACGTGTCTTGTTAAGGGGCTGACACCCAGACACCCAACTCTATCGCTCTGCCTCCACCCTCAACTCCACGACTACTGGCGTCCTGACTGACTGCCCGTCCCACATCAAGTCCTGGATGAGGGACAACTTTCTCCAACTCAAAGTCAGCAAGACCAAGGCCCTCCTGATTGGCTCGCGTCAGCGACTCCGCACCTCGGGCGCTGGCAGCATCAGCCTCCACGGCTGCACACTCAACCTCACTAAGTCAGTCAGGAACCTGGGTGTCTTGTTTGACCCTGAACTGTCCTTTCTCCCCCACATCCGCACCATGACCAGCACAGCCTACCACCACCTCCGCAACATTGCCAGACTCCGCCACTGCCTCACCCCTCAGGCTGCCGAAACCCTCACCCACGCATTCATCACCTCAAGACTCAATTCTGGGAACTCCCTCCTCATCGGCCTTCCCAACTCTTCCCTTCACAGGCTGCAGATCATCCAAAACTCTGCAGCTCGTGTACTCTTATGCACCGGCTCCGCGACCCATTCATGGCCTTGCCCCATCCTACCTCTCTGACCTGCTGATTCCTTACCAACCTGCCCGCTCCCTCCATTCAGTGGGCTCCGGTCTGCTCCATGTCTCCCGCCCGACCCACCCTACCGTTGGTGGGCGGGCTTTCAGCCTCTCTGCCCCCTTACTCTGGAACTCCATCCCATGGTCCTTTCGGCTCGCTTCCTCCCTTGCCTCCTTCAAGGCTGGTCTCAAGACTCTTCTCTTCGATCGTGCCTTTGGTCACCCTCCCACCTCTCTGCCTTCCCTCACCCCTACACCACCGCTCCCCCATGCTCGGGTCCTGACACCTGACTGTTCAGCGCTTTGGGACGTCCTCCCAATGTGAAAGGCGCTCTATAAATGCAATTTTGTTGTTGTTTGTTGTTGTTGTTGTGACTGCTAATGTACATTTCAACCTAGTTCGCATTATTTGTGAAAATAATTAGACGTGTCTTTGAAGTGGTCCATAAGAATCTTCGCAATCTTCATTGTGTCATCAGGAGGGTGCAGAGCATAATGTTTCTTGCATATGGAGGAGGTCAAGGAAGAACATCTGCATAGCTATATTAATTATTTTAACAGATCATGACAAGCTGTCCTGTACACTACCTCATGTGCTAGTTGGCCTGAACGCCAATGTACAACAACCCAGAATTATAATTTTTGCAGAATCTAAATTCTGGGTAGATAATTTTAATTGTCTTCAGAAGATTAAATAAACCTGAACTATGGTAATGTTTCTCTTCATTTTACTGTAATATAGCAAACAACAAGTTACATTATATAGGCTCTTTCACGTCGGGAGGATGTCCCAAAGCGCTGGCCAATGAGGGGTTTGCACCCGAGCTGTGTTTTGGGATCAGAGAGGGAATGAGGGCAAAGGGGCTGCAGGAGGAAAGATGACTGAAGGCACAATTGAAAAGGAAAGTCTTGAGACAGGTCTTTAAGGAGGCAAGGGAGGGGGCAAGGGAAGGGATAGTGGCGGAGCCGGGCAATGTAGCAGAGGTGGGGCAAGCCAGAATGGGCAATGGCATGGATATTGATGGTCGAACAAGACACTAAGTTTCCCTACTGGCTCTGTGAGGTGGAGAATGCATCCATGAATAGTGAAGCAATCAGCTCCTGAGGTGAGGAGGTGAAGGGCCAAGCATGAGAGCTTCTGTCTTGTCATCATTCAACTGTAGGATATTGGCTCTTATCCAGGACAATGTCTGACGGACAATCTGTCAGGCAACAGTGGTTCTGGAGTTGAGATTAATGGTAGAAAGACAGAGTTGGGTGTCATCCACATACATATGGAAGTTAACCCCATACTTGCGGATGATATCCCCGAGCAGGAGCATGTAAATATTAAAAAGGAGAAGACCGAAGACAGAACCCTCGGGGAACACAACATGTTATGGAGTGAGGGCTAGAGAAGCCATTGGTGGAAACAAAGTGGAGATGATGGGAAAGGTAAGAACAGAACCAGGCAAGTACAGAGCCATGGAGGTGGGGCTGAGTGGAGAATAGATTGGTCAACAGTGTCAAAAGGCAGCGGAGAGATCAACAAAGACGAGAAGACAAAGAGAGCCCTGGTCATAAATATGGAATGTCATTTGTAACTTTGACTAAGGCTACCTCTGTACTATGGACGAGGCGGAAACCAGATTGCAGAGGTTCATACAGGGAGTGGCAGGAGCGGAAAGAGCAATGCTGGGAAGCAATGACTTGTTCCAGGACCTTCGAGAAAGGAAAGGTTTGAAAAGAGAGATGGGTCAAGGGAAGCTTTTTTGAGTATGGGGGTGATGACGTGAGTTTTTATGGGGGTGGGAATGGTGGCAGGGGACAGAGAGAGGTTCACAATATCAGTAAGAAAGGGAGCAAGGAGGTGGTGCTGGGAGGTAAGGAGAGGAGTAGCGATGGGCCAAGGGAGCAGGAGGAGGGCTTCGTTTGGAAAATGATGGGAGATGAGAGAAGAGAAGGTGACAGGGTTAAAAGTGTGGTGGGAGGGATAGGTGGAAGCAGAGTGGGAGGGAGTGGCAGTAGAAAGGACATAGGCAGCAGAGGGGATCCCCTTGATTTTGGACTCGAGGAAGTCCATCATCTCCTCACATTTGGAGTTAAATCTTCTTGCACATCCTCTCCTCACATTAGAAGAG